TGCGGTAAAATCTGGTTTTAACGGTTCGGGAAGGTTTATTTTTTCCTCCCTCGGTATTGGGCCGTAAAACCTTTGCAGAACATCGGACGAATATCTTGCGGCAGCCATGTCGGCGTGTATACTGTGCATATACTTCTTCAATACGAAAAAAATTCTGGCGCACTTTTGTGTATAATCAGTGCAGGCATTTTTTCAAGAAAAAGAATTTGTGTGCCGATTGATTACAGACGTTACAGCTTCGCTGCGCCGCTCGCGCGATTTTATTTTTGTGCCCCACACATGTAAGATGAGGGTTCTGGTCGCTGATTTTCTTGCTTTCTCCCCGAACCCCGGGATGGGGTGGGGTGGCGGGGTTCGGGGAAAGGCTGCAAGAATTCCTGCGCCAGAACCCTCATCTTACATGTGTGTGTTGCTGTGTGGGATTCTACCTCTGAAGGTAGTGCTCCCTCTGAAAAGTGTGATTTTCTGTACCTCATTCAATCTGCCTGGTGTGGTTTTTGTGGGCTTCCTTTAGTTGCTTAATATAAATGTTTCGAGACATGAGATCAAGAATGTGCTGTGATAAATTGACCAGGTAAAACATATTTTATTTTATGTATGGGCTAGCTTAAATGTATTTTTTCTTTAACTGATATATCACGCGTTATCCTTAGACAAAACGACCAGTGATTTAGAACACATGGATACACAAGAACAAGCCCTCAGTGAAACAGCACCAGTCTTAAGTCAAATGGCACGAGGAGAAGAAGGTAGAGGTTTTATCTTTACGGAGAATTCATTACACCCCAAGTAAAAGGCTATCCATGAGCAAAAGTAAAATAAAATGATAATGTGCAGAACTACATGAAGCTATTTTATTTACTTTGACATCACTTTAACTGTTGGTTTTTATTTTACATGAAAATAACATCAGTTATTCACTCATGCAGATGATTGCTCCCTTAAACTACGTTACCATGTATTGAAAGGCAGTGCTACCTCTAAAAAGTGTGATTTTCTGTACCTCATTCAATCTGCCAGGACTGGCTTTTGCGGGCTTTCTTTAGTNGAACATTACACGTTGGCTCGAAGATATGAATTTTATGTTCTTGCCACTCGAACATAAAATTCATATCTTCTCGCCACCGTGTAATATCCTCTATTTATGTATGGGCTAGCTTAAATGTATTTTTTTCTATAATTGATATACAACACGTTATCCTTAGACAAAACGACCAGTGATTTAGAACACATGGATACACAAGAACAAGCCCTCAGTGAAACAGCACCAGTCTTTAGTCAAATGGCACGAGGAGAAGAAGGTAGAGATTTTACCTTCACGGAGAATTCATTACACCCCAAGTGAAAGGCTATCAATGAGCAAAACTAAAATAAAATGATAATGTGCAGAACTACACGAAGCTATTTTATTTACTTTGACATCATTTTAATGGTTGGTTTTTATTTTACATGAAAATAACATCGGTTATTCACTCATGCTGTTGATTGCTCCCTTAAACTACGTTACCATGTACTGAAAGGCAGTGCTACCTCTAAAAACTGTGATTTTCTGTACCTCATTCAATCTGCCAGGACTGGTTTTTGCGGGCTTTCTTTAGTTACTTAAGGTAAATGTCTGTTGACATGATGGCAAGAATGTGCTGTGATAGACTGACCGGGTAAAACATATTTTCTTGCGTGTATGGGTTAACTTAAATGTATTCCTTCTATACTTAATATACAACGCTTCATCCTCAGACAAAACGACCGGTGATTTAGAACAGATGGAAACAAAAGAACAAG